CTCAGTAGAGTGCTGTGGTGTCATAGCTCACAGCAACCTCAAACTCTTGGGCTTAAGCGATTCTCTTGCCTCAGCCTCCCGAGTAGCTGGGACGACAGGCACCCACCACAATGCCCAGCTATTTTGGTTGTAGTTGTCATTGTTGTTCAGCAGGCCCAGGCTGGGCTTGAACCCGCCAGGTCTCGGTGTATGTGGCTGGCGCCCTACTCACTGAGTTACGGGCAGGGAGTCACCATAAAGCAATTTCTATAAGGATTCAGAGACAAGGAGAGTAGGACAAGTGGGTGGGTGGGAGCTTCTAGGGAAGGAAGCTGCCTTCTCTTTGATGCTGAAATGTTGAGAAGGTATAATCTCTTGTAATTGGAATTTAAATGTTATTTGAAAAATAAACTGGTTTTCTACACAGTGATTTTGCATGTTGGGGAGGGACCCTCTCATGGGGGGGATGATGTAAATTGTTCCAGTGCAGCCACTAGCCATGTGACCTGGCACTGATGCCCTGGGCCTAAAGACTCCTGTCCTCTACCCAGGGTCCCCAAGGTGGATAAACATTACCTTTTGACACTTAGTATGTGTCAGGTGGCTGCATATATTGGCTTTTTTTTTTTTAAACACTCATGAAGGCTGGGGGCTGGGACTCACACCTGTTATCGTTGCACTCTGAGAGGTTGAAGAGCTCAAGAATTCGAGACCAGCCTGAACAAGAGTGAACTCTGTCTCTACTAAAAACAGAAACATTAGCTGTGTATGGTGGCACATGCCTGTAGTCCCAGCTATTAGGGAGGCTGAACCAAGAGCATCGCTTGAGCCCAGGAGTCTGAGGTTGCTGTGAACTAGGCTGATGCCACGGCACACTATCCAGGATGACAGAATGAGACTCTATGTCACAAAAACAGAAGGAAAAAAACACTTATAAAGCCCTCACTCTGTTCTAACTTTTTGTAAATATTTAGTTCCTATAAGCTTCCCCTTACCAGAGGAGAAGCTGAGGCCCAGGGAATTTAGGGGGCATTAGCCTCACATTAGGAGAGAGGGTTTTTTGTTTTTTGTTTTTGTTTTTGAGACAGAGTCTCACTCTGTCACCCTGGGTATAGAGTGCCACCGTGTCATAGCTTACAACAACCTCAAACTCTTGGGCTTCAGCAATCCTCTTGCCTCAGCCTCCTGAGTAGCTGGGACTATAAGCATATACTATGCTGTGTTAATTTTTCTGGTTTTTTAGTAGAGGCATGATCTCACTCTTGCTCAGGGCGATCTCAAACTCATAAACTCAAGCAATCTCCCACCTCTGCCTCCCAGTGTTAGGATTATAGGCATGAGCCACTGTGCCCCACCTGCAGAGTTTTGGGTTTTTTTTTTTTTTTTGAGACAAGGTACAATTTGTCACCAAAGCTGGATGTGATCACAGCTCACTGCAAGCAGGAACTCAGGGCTCAATTGATCCTTCTGGTTTAGCCTCCAGAGTAGGTAGTATTAGACCTGCGCACCACCACTCTCAGATAATTTTAAAATTTTCTGTAGCAATAGGGTCTTGCTATATCGACCAGCTCTCTGTTGCCCTGGCTGGTCTCCAACTCTCTTTTTTTTTTTTTTTTTGAGACAGAGCCTCAAGCTGTCCCCCTGGGTAGAGTGCCGTGGCATAGCTCACAGCAACCTCCAACTCCTGCCCTCAAGCGAGTCTCCTGCCTCTGCCTCTGCCTCCCAAGTTGCTGGGACCACAGGCGCCTGCCACAACGCCTGGCTACTTTTTTTTCGGTTGCAGCCATCATTGTTGTTTGGCGGGCTAGGGCTGGATTCGAACCCACCGCCTTAGGTGTATGTGGCTGGCGCCTTAGCCACTTGAGCCACAGACACCGAGCCTCCAACTCTTGACCTCAAAGGATCTTCCCACTTAGGCCTCTCAAAGTGCTGAGATTACAGGTATGAGCAACACAGCCTCATCCAAAGGATGGTTTTGAACCCAGACCCTTGGGCTTCAGAGCCCATGTGCTGGAGGAAAACCCTGAACCTGCACCCAGGCCCCTCCCCACCTGCCACTACTTCCCCACATCCCTTCATGGCCTGAGCGCTCCAAGTCCCAGCCCCTCCAGGTGAGCTACCGACCTAGACCCTGGGACTGAAGGTCCCACCTCCCAGCATTTGCCTGTATTGTTTCTACAGCCCATTTGCCTCTGGAACTCCTACTCAACCTGCAGAACCCAACCACTCTGACCCACGTCTCCATCCCCTAAGCACCCTGGTTTTCCCCTGTCCGGAGTCTGTGCCCCATCTCGTTCCTGGGGGGTGGTTCTGACGGCAGGAACTGAGGCCTCTCTTCTGCCCCTACCCAGCGAGACCCTACTCACCTCCACAAAGTAGAAGCAAGGCAGAAGCGTCATGCTGTCCTTCGGGGTTTTATTCTTCTCCTTGGTCGAGATCATGGTGCCACGGGCGCCACAGGCCGTGGCTGGAGGGGACAAAGCCGCACTAGAGCGGGAGACGCACAGACTTAGCCTTGGGAGGCCCTGGTGACCGGCGCCAGCAGGAGAAGGACGGTCAAGGATGTTCAATAGCCGCCCGGGAAAACTGAGGCTGAAGGAGAGCAGTATCCCCGCAGCCTCCCCGGCGCACCACGGCCCTGCCACACAATCCGGCTTCCTGGCACCTTCACTACCCGGTTCAGAAAGGGGGTTCGGCAAAGAGGGCGGGGCCCGCCTGGCCTGGAGTTTCCAAGCAGAAGGCCGTCCCCGCCTCAGGGAGGGGGCACCCAGGAGAATGGGGTCCCAGGGAGCCGGAAGAGAGGATAGGATGCGAGCACCGCGCCCCGCAGTACCCTCACCTGCAGCAGCCGGCGCTCGAAGGGCGGAGCTGGCGCGGCGGCGGGGCTCCGACTGCGGCCCGGCTAGTACAAAGCGCGGCCCCTCCCCCGCAGGGGCGGGGGGAGCCTGGCCCGAGACCCCCACGAACGCTGCAGCCTAGGCGCTGCACCAGGGGCAGGGACTCTTTGTCTCCGCGCGTCGAGGGCGCAGCGCGCGTTCTTCCCCTCGCCCGCCTCTCCGGCAGCGGTTTGCTGGATGTCGGGGTCTCGAGGTCGCGAGCTGCGGCTGGCGCTGCGGAGGCCCGGGCTCTGCCTTCCCCTCCCTCTTGACCTCCCGCCACGTCCTACCCTCACGGGTCTCTTGCGATGGCCTCAGGGGCCCCATCGACGCTGGGGCGGAGGCGAGTGCCTGAGTCTCTGGGACTCTCTCGGGGTCTCTCACCGTCCGGCCCCGTCTCTGCCGCGCCCCACCCCGCGTCCCTGCCAGACTCTCCCTTCGCCCGCACCGGTTTCCATGGCAAGCTCGCTCGGCTCCCCGAACAATCGGGAGACAAAGGAAGCTGGGGGCTGGGGACGGGAGTTGGGGGTGGGGTGAGGGGAGGTAGTCCTCGCCACAGTCGGTTCCACTCATCCTTCCTCCTATGCCCGGCCGGGGTCCGCCCTCCGCTTGGCCCTCAGGAACCAGGGCATAGGGGGCATGCAGGGGCGGTGGGTAGGGGCCTCGGAAAGAATGTACACATTTAAGCAGTACTTGTTGTTTGCAGGCGGTTCATTTTCGTACACAGCCCCGAAGGTTAGGGACTTTGTGACTCCCATTTTATGGATGGGGAAACCGAAGCCCAGGGAGCCTAGGTCATTATGCTAGCTCTCCAGGCCCGGAAGGGCAGGATTTTATCGAGTTTATTTACTATCTCTTGAGCATTTAAGGTACACGCGGTCTGAACAGGGACTGCAGACCCTTTGGGAACGGAGACAAATCCTGACAGTCCCACAGTTAAATGTCTCATTAGCTTTTGGGGATGAGGGATGCATTGATTGAGCGCCTATTGTTTGTAGCCACTGGTCTTTATTCCCCTTCAGCTATTAAACCCATTCCCCCCTTCTCAGATTCTGTCCTTTGACTCATGTTTTCAAAGAACCTCAACTTCATGTGTTCTCAGAGGAGGCTTTCTATTTGGTTAAGAGTGAGCTCTGAGAGCTGGAGTCCTGAAGTGGCCTCAGGTGTCCCTGTCCCCCTTAAACACAGCCAGGATCACCTGCCATACCTGCATGTCACAGGCCCTCCTGCTTGAGAGGGTTCTTGGACCTGAGGTTCCTGTGGGTGAGCTAGGATGGGTCTTCCCATAGCCCAGGGTGAGGAAGCCCATGAACGGGGAACATTATGGATGGGCCTTTTTTTTTTTTTTCCAGCTAGTGAGAGGTGGAGACTAGGCAGCGGTTGGGAATCCTGCTGTTGAAAGGTGACCACAAACAGTCCTCCAGAGGCAGGAGGAGGAGGAGGAAGAAATGGAGCAATTGCCCCTTGGGTGTTTCCTGGGGGCCAGGAGACGGTCTAAGGGTACCTGGGGAAACCTCAGGGTTAGGGGTGGGGAGTCCTTCTTCTTGTAGGATCCCCAGTGGTAGAGACCAGCACACATCCCTCAGCTGAGGGGCCCTGGGCTTGAGTCTGGGGCATTAGGGAACCATGGCAGAATTTAGAGCAGTTTAGAGTGGTCGAACGTTCCAGGTACTACTCAGAAACATTTATAAACAGTAACCTGCTCAATGTCCAGCACAGCTCTATAAGGCATGTCTCCTTCATGTACAAGGGGAAACTGAGATACTGAGAGGGGGCCAGGAAGAAAGGAGAAGGCACATGGGAGAGATGAGGCCCAGGCTGGACGAAGAGGGAGTGATGAATGGAGCCTCAGGAGGGAAGATAGACAGGCCTGGGCTAAGTCAGAGGCCTGGGCCATGCTGTAACTACTCTGAAGTGGCTGGACTGAGGGGCTCACCAGAGACCAGACTAGACCCAAGTCTCAGAGCTCCAATATTCAGATGGGCAGAAAACCTCAAAGTCCACCCTAATCCTGCCTCCCTAAACTCTTCCCAAATCTGCCCCTTGGGAAGTACAAACTTTTGGGGCCTCTGGGCTTCAGACACAAACTGGTCCCTAAGGGTGTAGGGGACCACCTGGAGCCCCAAATCTCTCAGTCTTATCTTAGAAATCAGCCTTATTTATTATTTATTTATTTATTTTTTTTTTTTTT